CCGCTGAATGCGATATAGAAATTTGGGTTCCTTACAACACAATTATAGACTCAGGAGCAGCTGTGCTGGCTATTTCACTGAGAGTGGTCGAAAGGGCAGGCAGGAAAAACGATCTGATCATGCTCAAAGATCAGCTCGTTTCAGCAGATGAGGAAAAGATTAAAACGGTGGGGAGAATGACCAATGTTGCGTTCCGATTGGGAAAAGTGCATGCACTGGGAGATGTTGTCGTATTGGATGTGAATACCTACGATGTTCTTTTCGGACTTCCTGCTCTTATGGCTTTACGAGAAAATTCGGACTTTGAGCGAAGATCAATCATCCTCCGCAATACAGGAGGAAAACCCTACGATGTGCCTATGCGATTAACCCTTCGCACAACCACCAATGCGGTCCCCCGAGTCTCGCCAATGTTGGCCGGAACCCTTCGCATGATCTCCTGGGATGGATCCGCCGATGAAAAGTCATCAACAAATGATGCAGAAAGCAGTGACGACGATGATCCGGAGATCTTGAAATTGGTACGACAACGTGTTTACTACCCGTCGTCCAAAACGATAGCGAGAACGATGCAACTGACCAGCCAACAAATTCAAAGGACCAAGGCGATGATCTTGGGAGAGCCCCTCGTGCAGATTTCGAGTATGGTCGACTGTTTGGAACCCCCTCAAACTCTGTACGAAGGGATCACCCCTCTCCTCACCAGGTATAGCGACAAAAAGCATTACTGCTACATTATGAAACTTCCTAAGTCTTTACTAACATCGGCTAAAGAAGTGTTGTTACGCTTGGGGGCGGAAGCAAGCTCTCTGGAACCCCCTGGGCGTTTTGAAGCAGAAACAGACGGCCTAGGGATAAAGATTGCAACTAAGGAAGTGCCATGGCAGGATGTTTGCGACGGGATCACCCCTGAGGGACTCGTGGCAATCCGAGAAGAAGATGCTCAGATGATGGCCACGGTGTTCTCCTGGAGATCGGATCATTCATTCATCTCGGCGCCCCCACTTGACCTGGCAAAACAGGCAAACACGAAACAGATTGACGTTCGGATCTGGGACTGACACTTCGAACTACACATTCCACAGTATGTGCCAGATGAAATCCACCGGGTAATTGCGGATATTCTAACGGAATATCAAAAAGCGATTAGTGTGTCAGACACTGACATTGGGTTGTCGTTAGTAATCCAACATGAAATTCAGACCGGAAATCACTCCCCGATTCATTGCAAACCTTATCGGTACTCCTTGATTGAACGCAAAAAGGCTCTCGAACGAATTCGGGAGTTCGAAGCCAGTGGTTGGATAGAACCCGCTACCGGACCTTGGTCTTTTCCCGTAGTGTTAGTACCGAAGAAGAACGGAGCGATTCGCATTTGCATTGATTATCGCAAGCTGAATGAAATCACGATCAAAGATGTGTATCCCCTCCCCCGGATTGATGATCTGTTGGATGCGATTGGATGCGCTAATTATTTCAGCAAGTTTGATATTCGGCATGACTTCCATCATATTCTGGTAAGGGAAGAAGATCGACCGAAAACGGCCTTTGTGTTGTTTGAGGGCACATGGCAGTGGGTTCGGTGCCCGATGGGGATTTGCAATGCGCCTGCCACGTTTCAGCGAGCGRTGAACATGACGTTCCATAATTTCGTCAACAAGACACGGCTAACGCAAGGGATGATCAACTTCTGTGTGATCGTGTACATGGACGACATCCTGGTCTATTCGGAGACCTATCACGGGCACGCGCAACACATCGGATGGGCATTGGGCACACTGAGAGATGCTGGGTTCAAGATTGCGCTCGAGAAAAGCGAATTTTTCCTCTCGGAAATCTCGTTCCTGGGCTACGTCGTGACACGTGGAGGATTGAGGCCGGACTCGAGAAAAGTTGCGGCGGTGAAGGAAGCCCCGGTTCCCACGTCACTGGCGTAGGTTCGAGCCTTCTTGGGGTTGGCGTCGTACTACCGGCGCTTCATCAAGGGCTTTGCCGCGGTTGCACGACCGCTAACGAATCTGTTACGGAAGGACCAGCCTCTAAGTTGGGACGCGGAGTGTCAGCAGGCCTTTGCAACCCTCAAAGACGCTCTAGCAACGACCCCTATTTAGATTCGATCGGACCCCTCGAAGCAGTTCATTCTCATAACGGACTGGCAACCGGAAGCCATTTCCGCGATTCTAGCACATAAGGGGAACGATGATTGCGAACACGTCATCGAGTACCCATCTCGAACCGTACCGGACAAACGAAGAAACGACTTTGCACCTCAAGGCGAGTGTTATGCGGTAGTTTGGGGAATCCAGCACTTCCACCCGTATCTCTACGGACATAAATTTTGCCTCGTAACGGACCACGAGTCTCTGCTAGCGCTGAAGAAACTCACCAATTACACGGGCATGATCGGCCGTTGGGTGGTACGACTACAAGAATACGACTTCGATATTGTCCATCGAAAGACAGAGCGGCACGGCAACGCAGTCGTGCTGACACGTCTACACCGACCTGTCAAGATACCAAAGGGCGAGGAAATTACACCGTGGAAGGAGCCGGACTTGACCGACGAGCCGAAATACGGACAAGTGGCAGTTCTTCCTCGTGGCAAGAAGTAAAACGGTGGCAATGGGCGATGGAGGTAACCCCACTACCCCTCTCTCTCCCTCTTCCTCTTCGTCTCTCCTCTCCCTGCCCGACAAATTTTGCTATTTTTGCGAAGCTATTTCCCGCGTATATTCGGTGTCCATGTGTCCTAACGGGGAAGGGTATGCAGGTTGGATAGACTGCCGACGGTGTGTTGCACGAGCCATCCAATACAGGAACGATAGTAAAACCTGGTTGTGCCCCTTGTGCCGGACCGACAAGATTCCGACCAAAGCTCGCTTTTTGGAGGCCACGTCAGAAGGATTGGAAAAGACCCGGAAGTTTAGAAGGGCCGAAGTATGGACGGATATTGCCCTAATTGTCACCCTGGTAGGTAACCCCCTCCAGGATTTCACCAAAGAAAATCGAAGGAGGGCCAATGAAAGGGCTCGGGATTATCGATGGATAGAGGGTAGATTAGAAAAACGAAAAACGGGCGGCAGATGGTGGTGCCACACCCGTTCATGCGGTACGACTAGGTTAAGATAGCCCACGAGGAAATTGCGGCCCATTTTGTCGTACGAATCACAGAATCCGCTATCGATAAAAATGAGTGGTATTGGTCCAATATCCGCGACGATGTGAAATACATTGTCGCCAACTGTCAGGTTTGCGCCGCTGATAAGGCGCCGATGCAGCCACCAAGATCGATAGTGCCCACGGTTGTCGAACGGCCATTTCAAAGAGTGAGCATGGACACTACCGACATAGTAGTGCCCTCTGGCCCTAATAGTTGCGAATATTCAGTCCTATTGGTATTTGTCGACCATTTCTCGAAATGGATCGAAGCGTATCCGTGTCGCATGCGGCAAGCCACGAAAATCGCGCGATACGTCAACCATTTTCTCGGGACGCATCAGGATAAGGAAGAGATCCTGACCGATAACGGAGCGGAATTTAAGGGAGAAGTGTTAAAGAATCTGGTCATACATGGCGTCGCCATACGGAACACCGCACCCCACATGTCACAATCCAATGGGCTCGAAAACGCCAACCGGGTGATAAAGACCGGATTGCGGCGAAATATCGCGACACGGGATCCGAGACCCTGGCCCGACATCGTCGATCACATCCTGGCGGTCCACAGCGGAGCGCCCCACGAATCGACGGGGCTAAGCCCCTTCCAATTAAGGACCAATAACGTCGTGTGCGTTTCAATACCGAGCCTACCCGACGAGTCTACATTGAACCGACGACCCACCAGGGCCACGGCTAGGGACAAAGCCAAACGACACCTAGAGCTAATGGAACGGTCACTGCCCAGGCTAGCCCGAAAACGACAGAAAATGACCGAACTAGCCCAAGGCCGACAAGTCCAAAGTTACGAGGCCCGGAATGGGAATGCAGGTCCACGGCCCCAATACAAATTAGGGGACATCATGCAGGTGAGGAAATGTGCTCGCCAGGGTAAGCTAGCGCCACGGTTCTTCGGGCGATTTCGCGTGATCGAACAAGGACCGAACGGTGTGAACACCGTGCAACTTGCGCCCGAGGTCTCCGGCAGCCGATTGGCCCGACCGATCACACGCCACGTGTCCTATCTTCGCCTCCTCCCCTCTGCTTCGGCTCCTTCTCCCTCTTTTTCTCTCTCTAAGAAAGCAGAGGACGACGACTCTGCCTCTCCGGCATCCCCCTCTTCCTCTCGCTCCCCCTCTGTCTCCCCGTTGCCATCACCATCGCCATGAGTTTTCTGGAGGAGAGAGCCCTCAGCGTAGCAGCACTTGCGCCCCGTGATCGATTGACGATCCGACAGGTCTATCATCCCTGCCTCAGTCCAGACCTTCGGCGGCTTGCGCACTTCTTCTGCACGGAGGGCGTGTATGCAGCGGCGGTGTTCAGAATCGAAGGTCGGCCCAACGCAGTGGTACTGGCCGAAGCGGTGGCGATTCATCAGCGAGCGGTGCCAGGTGTCAGCCGCATATCGGTCGTCATCAACTTCCGTGGCGATCTCTCCACACTCCTTCCCTTGCGACATTCAACAGTAAAGGCGTCGCTGCGTGCATGGGCAAACCATCTGGTTGCCGAGTGGACCCAGCTTTTGGCTCGTCCCGGGGATACGGTCGCACCGACACGAGCCATCGAATACGACGGTCTTCGGATGTACCAGCGCGATCCGCCGGCGGTTCTCCCTGTTGTTGTTCCCTTACCTCGCCCCCAAGGAGTCTCTCTCCGGTCTCCGTTTTTTATCTCCCCTCCACCTTCCCCACCTTCTGGCACTTCGATATCCATCCTCGCCTTTCCTACTGCCTAACGACCCTTGCCGTCCCCGACATTCATCCCCCACACTGGAAACTGTGGCGCGAAGACTTTATCGAGCTTTCCCTATGCTTGGTCGAAGTGCGGCTGACGTGGAACAAGGGCGAAGAGCACCTGCCTTGCATAGAGCGACTGGAGTTGCTGCTTATCCAGGCCTGGCGCACCAACATGGAGGGAGAGCTCCTCGCCTTCTTATTCGGTACAGTAGGGCCCGACCATCAGGAACTCATCACGCAAGAGCTCACGATTCCGGTAGCACAGCTGGCGGACGACCTCCCTCTTGACATCATCTCGCAAGACGACGAGCATCCAGTTCCCTATGTTCTTTCTCGCACCTTGACACCTTATCTCCAGTGGTCGGCTTGTGTGGAGGGAGCCGCCGAGCGCATCCCGCCGTCGCAGCAGCAGTATTTGGATCCCCGGACGGTTCGCGATCCTGCCTTCTTCAGGCATCCAACGGCAAAGCAGCTTGCCGCCATTCAAGAGGAGGAAGAGGAGGAAGAAAGCACTGAGAGCGACGAAGGAGAAGACGAGCGGGAAGAAAGTGGGGAAAGCGACGAAGTACTCGGGGAAAAGGACGAAACCCCCGAAGAAGGAAGCTATAGCGAGCATAGCGAGGGGGAGCGGAGCGAAGAAGAAGAAGACGACGGAGAAGGAGAGGGGAACGAAGAAGGATCTGCTGGATCAGAGTGGGAAGCCGTGCCGGAAGAAGCGCTGCGCACAGGCACAGAGGCAGAGGATCCTGAGGCGGCCCGTAAAAGAGAGGAGATCGTGACCGGGAAGGAGTAAGAGCTCGCAAGCGTGGCGAGTCTGCAGATCTGCGACGACCCGAACAGAGATCTGGAGCCGCCCCGACCTGAGGATGGTGACCTCACGGCCACGACTCCGACCCCATCGGCACGGCAACGAAGCCGATCCAGCTCCTCCCCAACCCGTCCCCCAGTTCGCCAACGTACCGATACGGGTGATTAGTCTTCGTCCCCGATCGCTCTCTCGTCGTCCCCTTGAATACCTCACCCTCCGCCAGCTCACCGCCCCTGTCACGTTCCCCTCTAATCCGTTCCCCCGCAACGCCTTCCGTCACTTCTATGCTGCTCGCTTCGCTATAGTAGTGCACCCCCACCCCTCCATTCAGTGCGCCGTCCCAACCTTCTGCCTCCATGTTTTGCTCCTTAGTGCCGCATGGCGAGGCCACAATATGATCGAAGTTTATTGCATAATAACGGGGACCATCCCCGCCTGCGAAGATCGCGATTGTTTCCTCGCGGCACTTTTCCGAACCCTCACCACCCTCTATCCTGATTACCTCGCGTCCCTCCCTCGCACTGGCAGCCGTTTCCCCCGCTTCCACCGCCTTATTCGCTACCAAGCGCTTCCAGAATCTGCAACTGGGATGGAAAGGTTGCTGCCCCCGCTACCCCTAAGCCCTCCGCCCCGACATGTACCAACTTCCCTTCCCCCTCCCGGTTAATTACTGATGCAGCAGGTAATGGACGTGTGTCGAGGCGACGACATGAAAAAGATCCCGTTCTTGGATCGTCGAAAGCCCAATCTAAGGAACTGGTAGAAGAGCAGTGTTGCCACGATGGACGACGTCCACACGCAATCACACAGTAAGTGGCATAAAATGAAGTGCTCCGCGTGTCGATCGATTAGAGAAATCGACACGTTTCAACAAGCAAGCAGGACCTTGCTAATATTGGAACCCCCTGGGCGTCACATATGTGACGAACCACTTTTTGTAACGCGCGAGTTTCTGCGCGGTTGCAACGAGGGGTCCTAAGCTGGGAAGATTGGGCCACTTACGGGAAATCGGGATCGGTGGAAAATTGCATCAGTACCCTTGTTTCTTCGTCTTTTTCGTCGCTTCTTCGGGTGTGGGTGTGTCCTGGGACGGCCAGTTGAGTGATTGGTCGGATGGATGTCTGCCGCGCCACCACGAGCGCGATTAACAAATGTTGACGTCGCTTCTCTCGTTTTGGTTTGGATCTTTTGGGCGCAGACATCGCGCGGGAAACTGTTTTCRTTCTTTTCGAGTTTCCTTTTTGAATCTTTTTCGAATTTTGTCGAGCCTCGAAGGCTCTCGGAATTTTGGACCTTCCTTCTGGAATTCGCGCTTTTTGCTTTTTCGCATTTGGATAGGAATTTAGGAATTTAGTAATTAAAATTTTTCCTGCCGCGCGGCGCCTTTTGTCTACGCGCCTCTTCATGCGGCTGCAACGGTACTCGGATTAGCAGGCGCCCTTAATCGCGTGTGTAGCTGTAATTTTGAGTGGGCGCCATTGTAACTGTATCTTTCTTCTTGTACTTCGTTTCTCCCGCCCTCCCCCTCTATCTTTTGCTGAAATTTTGGAAGGTCGCGGCTTGCATGCTCAGATCGGTGCGTGGAGAAGGGTTACGTCCCCCACACCGCGCCTCGATCATGCAGAATGCAGGCGCTCGCTCTCTAATCCTCACTCTAAAGTCCTGGTAATTCCGTATTCTTCGCGCATGCATGCATGCTAAAAATTTCGGCTGCGCGATTAGTCAACTCTCTTAACCCGTTATGGGAAGCTCGGGGTTGCGCGATCAGGAAGGGTCGGCACACGAGCGAAGTAAGAGGTGAGTAGAGCAGGAGTCGGGCGATCCGACGGGCTGGTGCCGAACGCGCGGGATTGACATGGGCCACGACGGACTGTGGGCACGGGCGAATCCGACGGGTGCGGGAGGACTAAGCGGGGTGACGACTTCGTGGGTTGGTGCGGGACGACGGACTGTCCGCATCGGAGAGAGAGAGAGAGAGAGAGAGAGAGTGCTGAGAGAGTTGATGGTTGGATTTGCGGCTTCGTTATTTCTTCCCTTTCTTTATCTGTGTATATAAATTTTGATTCCGGGCGATACGCCCCCGATTTTCGTCGGCTACATCTCTTTGTCTTGGCTTCGACCTTCCTCGATTATTTGAGTGTGTATCTCCCACTTTTTTTTCACACCTTCGGATGAACGTATGATGCATCTATGGATGTTCGAACTTTTGAATGAATGCGTGGATGTCTCACCCTTAGAAGTGCATGTATGGATAGGAGTTCGTCTCGTTTTCCTTTGATGGATGTTGCATGCATTTGATCTTTTCTGTTTGCATGAATGGATGTATGTCTTATCGGCATATAGGCAGTCGCATAACCATAGACCTTGCGATTTTTCCCGTACCCGACACGGGTCACCCTCGTGATTGATTGAGCCGCGCTCAGACGCGCGACGACGCGAAAAGGCCCTGGGGATTGAACTGTGCTGAACCCAAGCCAACCGATCGATCGACACGCCAGGCGGAATTCCGCGTTCACACGCGCAAGTACAGCCAGCCTGGGCTGCTTACACGTGTCCGCCCAGGAATCACCAGCGCCCAATGACAAGATGAAAGACGACTGGACTGACGAAGGATCGACCAAGCTTGACTTGTGTAGCAATCTAACCCAGCGGGGACCTTTGCGGCCATATCCCGAATTCCCGTGTCAATCCGAATACGATCAAGTAAGCGCGGAAGAACTTAGGCCCGAGCTACTGAATGAACCCGGCTGCCCGGATATTCCTAACGAGCCTCGTTCGCAGTATTTCATCTCCTCGGGGTTCGTCCGTATTTCTACTTCGTTCCCTCCATTTGAACTCGTCCTCCCGTATGATCAACTTCTAGTGGTGCCCTGGAATTACATTGCCCCGCAATGGCCCCGCGCGTCGCGTCAAAGTTCGCGACGACGGCGCGGCGGGCGGCGAAATTGTACTGCCCGGAACCGGTTGCCACGTGGCACGACTAGAAATTCCCCGACAAATGACCGCCATCTCGTCTAAAAACTCGACGGCTTTCAATTTGCATTCATACCCCTAAGATTCCCCCACTTTCCCAAAAAATCCTTGGCACACCCCTTTTCGCACTTCAAGGCCCGCATCCCACTCTGATAAGGAAGTCGCTCTAGACGTGAGGTTGGGCGTCACAAGGTCCCTGTAGCGCCCTGCCAGCCGGCAGGGCGGATTCCACGCTTCATTGAGTTCGACAAGTACTATAGCATCCTGTATCGGACCGCAATCACAGCATAAGGGATGTGCTTTCTTTTTTTATGTTTATATGTTGTTCGTGGATAGACGAGGGCCCTAACTGAACTGCATACGGCCGAGTTTCAACTGCAATTGAAACTCGGACCCTGACTAAACTGCAATTGAAACTCGGATCTTGACTAAACTGCTAAAACGCAGTTTCGAATGCAATTACAAACTGTTTTCGTGACTGCGCCGAAGTTACCCCTTAAATTAATTTGTGGTCTCAACATTCTATATGTGGACTTGACTGTCGAAGTATGGAGAGCTCTCTGGTACTGGCGACCCTCACCGTCGTGTGACGTCCAGACCCAATTAATAGGCTCTAGAGCCAGGCAAGCAATGAGAGTATCTGGCCTGAAAGCCAGCCATGAGGTATTGTGTTTAAGCACTCTAAATCTAAAGATGAGCTGACTATCCACCACTGAACTTCCTCTGTTGGAATAACTGTGTTATCATGAGTTAACCTGGATATGGCTAAAAAAACTTCTCAATTGGTGTTAATTTGTAAGATATTAGCGATCGTGTGAAGTTGATTTGTGATAGCTACCCAATCTCCCTCTTTCAGTCTTGGGTCTTTCCTTAGGATACGGATCAAGTCCAAAAAAATTAGTTCAGTGATTTTTTCTAAGGCTTCTCCCGAATGGTGGCAATACCTCAACTGCCTATGCAGATCAGTTGGCGAGATCCATTCCTTAGGATCCTCACTCGAAATGTTCTTGATGCGTAAAACCCCTCTTTGGAGTCTTGGGTCTTTCCTTAGGATATGGATCCAGTCCATAGGAATTAGTTAAGTGATTTTTTCTAGGGCTTCCCCCGAATGGTGGCAATACCTCAACTGCCTATGCAGATCAGTTAGCGAGATACATTCCTTAGAATCCTCACTCGAAATGTTTTTGATGCGTAAAACCCCTCTTTTGACTCATCCTTTCCATGATGAGTCCGTACAATGCAAAATATGCCCTTGCGAATCTCGGATCCATGGATTGTTGAAAAAAGGTTGCTGAAAAACTTCCTCCCATATCTCTAGAGCAACCTTGTTTGGCAAGGGTAACTTTCTCCATGTTTTTAATAAGGTAGGCCAGAAGGGATCCTTGCCAAGGTTTATCCTTGCCACCAAACTGTTTGATCCCATTGGATTTTTTATCCCACCTGAGATCTTTTTAGGGATAGACCATGACCTGTTATCTAACCATAACAATGGGTCAATGTCATCCAACGTCTCAGGTGCGAGGCATTTGATCTGCTTTCATGGCAAAGCATTCCAGTGGGTCTAGCGGTTAAATACTAGCCTCTTGATTCACTGGATGAACAAAGTCATTCCTACGTAGTCGGCTCAATAATTTTCAGCCCCCCTTTTACCTTTAGTTGAATCTCTTACTATCATGCCACTCTACTGATAACATTCCTACTCTCATGATTACCCCTCCATAAGAATGTCACAAATTGTCTTTGAAGTGTTTTGAGAGCAGCCTTGTCTGTGACCCGAATGACTGATTAATAAAAGTCATGACAAGAGCACGACTCAAAATCGAGGTATGTTTGTCTTGCCATAATTCTTGTTTCGTGAGGGTCTGTTGGGAAATCCATTCATTATTGGTAGTCTGTTTCCCTTCTGCAATTAAGGATACTCCTAGAACCCGCACAGGTGTCTTTAATGAGAGTCAGTTAACCTTTGGTTGCTCTGGGGGACGAAACCCTCGATGGTGAATCCACCAACCTAACATTTTATTGTCCCAGTTAACTTTCATATCAGATAAGCGACAATAATTTTTTATTAGTTCGTGGACTGCTGCTAAATTCTCATGTGATGCTTCAACCATGAGTGAGAGATCATCTGCAAATAATGAGAAAACATGAATTGCTTCCTCTAGGATGATGTTACTTAGATACATTTGATATCCCTGTGTTTTCTTATATTAGCAACAATTGTCTCCATTATGATTACAAATAAGGAGGGAGCAATAGGGTCGCCTTGTCTAACTGATCGACGTAGAGAGATTGACAG